CCAATGTACACCCTTTATTGGAATCGAAAATAAATTTCATAATTCTAAACGAAATTTAATGAGACAGACAATCTACTGTACTTCCGTTTGAAAAGACGCACTGATGTCTGGAAACTTTACAAGCACCTCCAATTTTGCTTGTTATGATGGCTTTCAATCTACATGAAATGCATATGAAGACGCACTAAATACGCTCATTAATAAGCCTCCTATTTCTCAAACATAAATTGTAACCTATAGGCATCGGAGTATATATTAAGCGGTCATCACAAATACAACTACAGATAAACAGTCAAGGAATAACTACGCGAGTTTACCACAATTCACGAAATAGGTTTTGGTGCACCTTCTGAAGAAAGTACCATCAGAAGTGCACGAGCGCTGACGATCCATAAAATACGCACCACTTATCTAGCGACTCTTTGAAAGATTAATTCACGCTGGCGGGCAAGGGGACGCTCAGCCAGAATTCAGTGTGTCACTAGGTGAGAAGAAACATAGGCTCATATCACATCCTAATTGGTATTTATTATATGCTTGGTATATGGCTTCTACCTTAAATCGTCTCAGACCATACAGGTAAATAATTTTCGAGATTCAAACCATGATTAAAGATATGCTTATAAAGATTTTGACTAATTCTACTGTCTTGAGGTTCGTAGATGTCGAGCAGACTTGCAGTAAAAGTTCAATTTGTCTTCCGACTTAGATGCCCCTAGCTCCAGGTTCTTGTCGTACCGGACAGGTGGGATTCATTTACTTAAGTTTTTAGTTCAAAACGTTTTGTATAGTTTAACTTAGCATCGTTAAGTTAGTTTAGTATATATTTAGTTAGGTTTATTTATCTAAGGTTGAAGGTATCTAAATAAACTAAATCTAAAATTGAACTAATCAACTGAATAATAAACTAAAAACAAAACCAAAACTGAACTTAAAATAACAAAAAGTAACTTTGACAACGGGATTAAACGATACGGGTGTCTAGGGTGGGCGAAAAATTTAATTTTGCTTTCGAATTTACTACAAGCTGTAGTCGGTATCAATTATATTTCCCACAGAAAAAAAAAACTGGTCACCTGGACAACAAACATCTGATTTATTTTTCGTTTTATTTGGTAAATTCCCGCAGCTATCTACTGACGTTGTTGGTAGCATAACTTTCTTGGTTTAACAAATGATATTAACTAAAATCAAATGCATTTGTTTCCTGTGTCGTTAACCATGCCTCTTTAAGTGCTTCTTCAAAGTTTACTTATTTAAAGAGAACGTTTTCGCTGGAGCTAACCATTTTCACAGAATATTTGAAAAACTTACCAATTTTGCTCCACAGGCGAACTGCGTGTACGAGCTGTGAATGTTCTTTGAGGAGTTGAAGCAATTCAACTTCTCGGCCAGCTGCCGAAAGGCGGTTGTTCTCAAAAGCACAATGCGAATGTTTTCGTCGGTTTAGTCTTTCGGTGATAGAATGACTTCGAACTCGAAATTCAGGAGCTAAAGTGAGCGGCACAGGTTTTGGTTCAAACATTCTGTTTGCCTGTTTCATGGAAACATAAAGAAAACAAAACAAGCGGCTTTGTATGTGGCTTTTTGCTACGATAACATATTGAGTTTAAATTGAATTAACTTTTAGTCCCCGTTGAGATCGCGACATTTCTGCTCTTCATTTAGAAGGCAGTCACAAGTACTTACATGCTATCAACAACCAAGCAATCGTTATCAAGTTAACATCCAGGCGGCTGAAACGCTTTCGTGGGGACTCTATGGCAAGTTTAGTTAACCTTTCGGACGTTAATTAACTCATGCATAATGGCCTGATTTCTGCCGGTCAAAATTTGTAGTCTTGACTGCGAAATAATCCATTTGCCACCGAAGCGGCCAACATGCATGGATTTATTATTTGTGCAGTTAATCAAGGCAACATTTACGTGGGTGTAATGTTTGGAAGTAGACCGCCTACTTGCCGTAGATATTATGAGTAATGAAACTTTTGGAAAAATAAAAGCAGTCGACTTAAGGCATATTTTACTGCATACTTGGAGATATCGATCCCGTTGCTTCTACACGGTCCGAATCGGCCTCGTCAATTTCTAGCAGATCATTTTCACCTTTTTCATTCAGCAAGCTCAAGCTGATGACGGATTGGCTACGTTGTTTCTCCGAACTTGCATCGTCTGAATTGTTGGAGGCATCAAACTCAGTTGAGGATCCGAAATCCTGGCAGGCAAGTGTCATAGGGTAATCTTTTCAATGTAGCCTTGTCAAGAGTTTCCCTTTTTGATGAAGTTTACCTGAAAGAAATTTCTATCACCTTATTTATACTGCACTTTTCAAGCCGCTATGACTAGAATATGATTGGTCTGAATGCCTCGGTGGATAGAGGATTTGTAGAAAATCGGACCAATGAAGTCAGCGCAAGGTAATTATGCTTGTGATAGGCCTTTGGATTGATACATTGCGTTACATCCAAAGAAAGCGTGCAAATATAGATCCAGTGGTAAGATTCTATTCCATTTAAGTTGGGTAAAACTATTCAAAAGTATTTAACAAAATATCTAGCCAAAACAAATTTTGCTTAACAGCATCGCTTTTAGTGAATTTCTAGTTACTGAAAAAAATAAGGTAAGCAAATTTCTGAGATTAAATATGCCGTATCACAGACTCGAAACCTCAGAATATATGTTGGGTAACGAAGGGTTAAAAAGCTAAACCAACTGCACAAAAGTGAAACAGATAATTTTGAAAACATCCTGATATATCAGTCTTTGTAACGAAATATTTAGCTACAAGGTTTGATTAAATAAGGATCGTGCAGTAAAGCTCACTGTTTTCCAACTGCGGAAATCGTGCACTATAAAGGTCACGCATAGTCGGCGAATTTTAGAAAAAAAGGGTCACACTTCTTAGAACCAGAATCTTTATCTCCAGACGTTGAATACTCGCATTCTAACGCATCACCTGAGGCAGCATTTACCAAGAACAATGGACGCACAAGGTGCCCAGCATTTACTTAACACCATTAAAAGCCCTCGTATTCACCAAAAATGACTGCACCTTCTGCAGCCATTGAACACACAGTTTTTAGATCCTTTACACTACTTACTATTGGCCTGATAATAAAGTAACAATTTGGCTGACCGACAGTTAAACTGGAATCATATTTTCCCGGCACACTTTTGCGTACCATTTACGCCAAAAGGCGTAATTGCGTTTGTTGACGGAATGCGGGCTTGAAAACTGAATGTAACTCCGCTCGTGACTGATGCGGACTTCGACTCTCATTTGAGGTTCGATGATATGGAAGGTAAAGGTGAGGCTGAGCTGCGTCAGCTAATGCGTGCCACAATAACTGACATAGTTTATGATAAATGGTGTTCTAATTTTGGCCATCCACACCGCAGTGTGGCTGAGCTTACAAGAAAAGGTTGAGCCGTCCGTGATAGAGATTCTTGGGGCTAAATTCCAGGGGGTACCTATTCTAATGTCCTACATTCCCATTCTAGTGAACCTGCAACCCTCCTAATCATAATTCTAGCACCAATGCTAGCACTGACGGTATACACTACCTTTCTGGAATGTAATGCCAGACCACCTGCGATACGGGGGCCCAAATTCCGCTGTTCAGCCCCGGGTCTTTTAATTCCAAGGCATCGTGATTCAGGATTGCTTCCGGCCAGTGTGCTGTCCCGACGAGATATCTTTATATACAGTATTGCGAGTCCTGCAAGCAACTTGTGTAAGTTTGCAAATGTTTGATTTTTCTCCCATACCAGCGAGAACGCATTTACGAAAACTGATAAATAATAATAAGCAGCATTAGGCATATTAAGAACTTAAAAGAACTGTAAGAAGTACTAAGTGTTTGTTAAGAAAAATAAATTTTTTTCGATAATCCCCAGGTTCTTTAGACATAAAAACAGCTTTAAATTATAATAATAAATTGAAATATTTTGTTAAGTATAAAACTCAAAGCAACCACTTTCTTTATATAAAAAGAACTTGTCTGTATTCAAAACATTTTGTATATATGGTAATTAGTGGATAACTATTTATCGAATATCGTAGAATAAAATCTCTCATCATTCGCTCGTTTTCAGTGTCTTCGTTGATAAGTTGATAAATTGCGCTTCCGTTCGCCGTTTACATCAAAACCCTTAGAATAAGATATAACTT